TCTAACACAATGGTATATTGTAGAATATTAATATCTGCAAATAAAAGACAAGCCAGAAAACCAAAATAGGGACGTCCCCACTTCAAACAACCAATTCTCTGGTCAGTCTCTAAGGGTCTGGTCATTCCAGCTACCAGAATGCTTGTACTTCCAGCAAGCTGTGTCAGTCTCTTGGCAGTAACTAGGCTTCTCTCACAGAAGGAATAGCAGAGCTTTTCCCTCCTGCCTGGGCACCCCCCAATTCAACTTGCTTTTTTTATTTTAACTCCTGTCTCCATATGAGACATCTCTGCAGATGTAGAATCATAGAATCATAGGACTGGAAGGGACCTCGAGAGCTCATCGAGTCCAGCCCCCCACCCTCAAGGCAGGACCAAGCTCCGTCTACACCATCCCTGACAGATGTCTATCTAACCTGTTCTTAAATATCTCCAGAAAGGGAGATTCCACCACCTCCCTTGGCAATTTATTCCAATATTTGACCACCCTGACAGTTAGGAATTTTTTCCTAATGTCCAGTCTAAACCTCCCCTGCTGCACTTTAAGCCCATTACTCCTTGTCCTGTCCTCAGAAACCAAGAGGAACAAATTTTCTCCTTCCTCCTTGTGACACCCTTTTAGATATTTGAAAACCGCTATCATGTCCCCCCTTAATCTTCTTTTTTCCAAACTAAACAAGCCCAGTTCATGAAGCCTGGCTTCATAGGTCATGTTCTCTAGACCTTTAATCATTCTTGTCGCTCTTCTCTGTACCCTTTCCAATTTCTCCACATCTTTCTTGAAATGTGGCACCCAGAACTGGACACAGTACTCCAGCTGAGGCCCAACTAGTGCAGAGTAGAGCGGCAGAATGACTTCACGAGTTTTGCTTACAACACACCTGTTGATACAACCTAGGATCATATTTGCTTTTTTTGCAACAGCATCACACTCTTGACTCATATTCAACTTGTGGTCCACTATGACCCCTAGATCCCTTTCCACCATGCTCCTTCCTAGACAGTCGCTTCCCATCTTGTATGTATGGAACTGATTGTTCCTTCCTAAGTGGAGCACTTTGCATTTCTCTTTATTAAACTTCATCCTGTTTACCTCTGACCATTTCTGTAACTTGCTAAGGTCATTTTGAATTATGTCCCTATCCTTCAGAGAAGTTGCAACCCCACCCAAGATATGGTTAATTGGGTCCACAAGTTTTAATTAACCTCTTCCTTACCAGTGTGAGTCTTATAAGCATCATCATACACAATGATTTTTAAAATCATTCTGATTTCTTTCAGAAACAATTTCTAGTGCATTTGTCCAAAAACCTTTAGACTTTCAGCAGTTTAGCTGTCCCTATCACAGAAACAATCATTCGGATAAACTCATGTGGCTAATGTTGATTGCATTTGACTGAATTGAAATATGTATTTTTTCAATCTGCTAATTTTCAAGAACCACTATTTTGTACACAGAAATATCTGTGCCCAGAAGTGCACATGGGAAAAGGAGTAATTGTGCACAAAGTCATTGCCACACCAGTGAAGTCAACATAAGTTTTTCCATTGACTTCAAGGAGAACAGAATTGAACTCAAAGAATGAATTTTTAATTTGAAAAATAGATACTTATGTATTCAGGTAGCCCTTATACATACACAGTTACACTGTGAAGTTCACATTTTCATCTGGCACCAATTGGCATAGCTTTAATGTCTTTCTCACTGACAGGAATCTAGCCCAAATTTTGGGGAACATATGTGGAAAATGCCGGTCATCTTTGCATCCACACATTCCAATAGCAAACCAAAAACAGATGTACATCCCAGAAAAAAAAGTGTATTGTATGTATTGAAAAACTAAGGGGAAAATAATAAATAGCTATTTACATTTCCAATAGCTTTAAAATGGGAGTCAACAATGTGTTTTTGTTGAGATAGAATGAACACAAAATAAGACAGGGAATCAAGAGTTTTGTTCAATTTCCCTTGGCAAGTCAACTATTGGTGCTTCAGTTTGCTTGTGTCTAAAATGATAATAATTACTCTACTTTGTTAAAAGAGTTGAGATTCACAGAGTAATAACAATAGCTGCACTTACAAAGTGTTAGCAATGAAGCACATCAGTTTTAAAAGCAGAAGACTTAGACAGATTCCCTACATTGCTCCAGATTTATTGGCATGTCTCTTTAGCTTCTCTGTGCCTCAGTTTACTCAAAGGTAAAATGTGAACAACATGTAAGTCACAGAATGTTTGTGTCACTTTTTTGTGCTATAGTGAGTACTCTTTATAAACTAGCCAATTAGCCCGTCATAAGACGGGATTTTCAGGTCTCTCCTCCACGTTGGTCTTCTCTCCTGAGCCTCTGGTCTCTTGCTCCATCTCTCTCTCTCCTCCTCCTACTGTCTCACTGTCTCCCCCCCCCCCCGCCCCCCCCCCCCCCAGCTCTCCTCCACCTCCTGCCCCTCTCTTTCTCTTCTCCTATCCTACCTGCCTCTCACTTGGGGGACCGCGGAGACTGAACAGCCATTTGGGCTCTGCACTCCCCGTGCAGCCCGGGGAGCGTGGAGCCCAAACATTTACTTGTGCCACTTGCTGCCCCACGGCGGCCTGGCTGACCAGCGCAGAAGTCAGCTGACCACCATGGCGGGAGGCAAAGGGAGGCAGGGCGGTGACATTCACGGCCAGGGAGCGGGGCCTGGAGCCGCTGTCACGCTGCACGTCACCGCCCCGCTCCCCTTCCCTTCCCACCC